AGTCGCGTTCAGACAATTACTGCAAGACATTGGAATAGTGATACCGGTCGAGACTACATTGTTCTCTCTACTAAACCTGATTGTTCATACTAACACTTCTACTTCTCTGTATATATTCCTGTTTGTAATATATCTGTGTTATTCCATACCTGTGTTCGCGTTCTTCTTTATTGGTTCTACCTTGGACTATCACCGTGGTACAAGGAATCCGGACCATAACACTTATTATGCTCTGTCTTATGTATGATTTATTTGTAATTTATATATTTCCGTTGTCGGACTGATGATGTCTTTTTAACCCCTGAGTAAAATTCCATATATAAAAAATGAAGTACATTAAGACAAAGCCATAGCATCACCAGAACAACCCACGAAAAATTTATTGAACAAGGCCAGTACACTCAAGCTCCATGCTCACTAAATCTCGCCACAAAAATTCAAAGAAACATTTTTGAAGATGTTTGTAGCAAATGTAATGCCGATTTTTTCGTTATTTCATTTAAATCACTAAATTTACTAGATTGGTAGCTGAGTCACATCATTTTACAGTTGTATTTGTTAGCTGTAACCGTAAGTTCTATGCTAATAGTTTCTTCTCTCGCACTTCTCGCTTGTGGAACTCTTTTTCGGCCTCTTGCTTTCCAGTCAACTTTGATCTTCCAGAATTTAAATGCAATGTCAATCGTATGTTAAACATAGGCTGGTCACGTCTCTCATCTCAGAGACAATATCTAAAGTATTAGAGCAACAGAGTTGACACCAAGACAGTGGAAAAGAACTAGAGGGTGGCCAAAGGCAAGATGGCGTGACGACCTGACCCGGTACCTCGCCCCAACATGATCCAGTATGGCAAGAAATAGGAAGTGATAGAGTTTGTTGCGGGATTCATCACTCTTGTTGCTAGGTGTGGAAATTTTTAGTAAGTATTTATAGTCTCTTGTTATACTTGTCCCACAAACAATATTGGCGGACTCATATGACTCTTGGTAAAGATAATTCCCAAAGCATGAAATTCAAACAAACAAGTATTAATTAACATGACATGTTACAAAAAATGAAAAATGATGTTAAAGTTGTGAAGTGTTCTAAGCCACCTCCAGTATGTGTCTGTGGGATACTGACATATCGACAGAGCGTGAAAAGCCGTCTTGTCGCTCGCAAAGCCAAAAAGGAAAGAGGAAAAAGCTTTCAAATCTTGCACCGCCTGTGATTATCGTCAGGTGGTGGTTATCCAACAGAGTCAATCATGGAACAGTGAGAAGGCTCTTGATTTGGATTTGGTCAATTTTATTTTTTGTCTTCTTAATACCTCTTCAATTATTGTTCCCTCTTCTTAATAATGTTTTTTTTTTCTGTTTCTCATATTCTTTCGCACTCAGTAACCCCTTCTGTCTTTATTGCCTTGCTTGGAGTGAAATGATTAAAAAAATTAGAAAATTCAAAAAAACAGACAAAAAAAAAAAAACAAACCAAAAAATCAAAAAAAAAAAAAGAAGAAAACGCTTTACTAAATAGATATTTAATAAGCTTCTTAGCATTTTTATATCCTATGTTTAATATTGGTCTGAACATCATTCAGTATTTATTATTGGTATAAGCATTAATATATTCACTACTTAATATTAATATTATTATTTCGAAAATGCGTCCCAGTGAAAAAAAAGAGTTTGAGAACAACTTCCTTAGTGGAACAATGCGCACGCGATATATATGTATGTATGTATAGCTGGCCACTCGTATTCGAGGATACCCGTCTACTAAGGCGGCTAGTCAGTCCCTAGTATTAGTATTCATATTTAATATTAATATTTTTTATCCAATGTTGAATATAATATTCAATATTTAATAATAGGGGAATGACTAGATTTTCTAAAACGAGGCTAAGCGATAAAAGCTATGCGTTGAATAATTGGAAGCTTAAAAATGATAACGTATAAAAGTTTATCTTTCCTCTTGTTTTTTAGTGACCGGATATGTTTGCAGAGGTTTGTTTTCAACCAAATTTCAGGATATATTAATAAGTCATAAATTGTATTTTAAAACGATCTATAAGAATATGTTGTATTTTAGTTTTTTCTGTGTCGTCCTCGGCTTTATCTCGTATCTAAGAATTCAATCGCTTCCTTTATGATGATGGCGTTGATGACTACACTCACAGCCAACGTACAGGTTCAGGACTAGAAGCTACCAGTTTCACTAAAACCTGCTTCCGTCTTCCCTATCGCCGTTTGGCTTTGCAAGAGTTGGCTGAAGGTGAAAGAAAATCAGAGTAGAAGAAACTGTCGGTGGTGTGAATTTGTTTATGGTGGAAATCAACTTGCTAGGAAGTGAACTGCACACTTGATTTCGTGATCTTTCTCTACGACACATGAAATGAGATATGCAGAATCCAGTTATGAAACTTCAACGAACTGCCGCTGACTCTTATAATTTCGAGTGACAGCGGATGAAGAGGGCTACTACGCATGTCCGTCATGTGTAGTCCTCTTTATCCGCTGGTTCAACTGTTGAGATCTGTTGTAATCGTCATCCCCTTCTTCCACCGTTGGGGATTTTGTATATTTTCTGTGTATAGTACCGATAAAAATAATCAAATTTGATGCTCTTTTGACATAAAGAAAAACATGTCTTAAGATATGTTCCCCTAGTGCAGTGGTCGCTGAACTGTGCGGCGCGCCTCATAGATGCGTCGGGAGAGGATAGCAGGTGAGGCGGAATGCGTGAAAGAAAATCAAAGATTTAGAAATAGTTTTAAAAAATTCAAATGCCAAAAATATAAATATGATTTCAAAATTTAAAATATTATTATGGATTACTTGTAATTGCATTAATGAGCCCCAGTATAAAAATAGTTATCCATAATTATTGACCGATTTTATCATTGTGACATTTTTGCATTATATCAAATATTAAGAATATAGTAAGTAGGCTCCGCAAATTGGAGGAGAGCGTTATCAATAATAATGTTCTGACTTCGAATCAGCGGTTATCTCCCTTTAATCCTCTCTCTGGGCCATTTTTTTGCCATAGGACTGTTTGCGCCTTTTCAGTTCTGGATTTTTAGTTCTAACAAATATAAAAAACCAAAAAGGAAAAAGTTTCTTTGTGTTGATGAGGAGATGAGAGTTTATCTCAAATTAGTTCGAATATAAAGTAGATTACCCGTCAAAAACAAGCTCATACCTTTCATTAAATTTGTGTACTTTAATCATATTATAAGTTATTTTGTTATGTATTATATTTAACGCACTATTAGTTGCTGTTCTTTATTTTTAAATGTACTTTTTATCACATAAAATTTGGTGAGGCGCGAGCAAATCATTATTTCGAAAATGCGTCCCAGAGAAAAAAAGAGTTTGGGAACCACTTCCCTAGTAAAACAATGCGCACGCAATATATATATATATATATATAGCTGGCCACTCGTATTCAATGATACCCGTCTATTAGGGCGGCTATTCAATCCCTATTGCAGGCGCTTGCTGAGGCGCATATGTGTTTATTCAACGCCACAGAGCTCACCTGTGTTTTATACTGCAACTATGCTGAGGAGACCCCAGTTACAGTTTCTGAGAAAGATCGTGTTAACTAGCGTCATCAACAATTTGAACAAAGCCAGCACGCTCAAGCCCTCGGCCACGATGACTTGTGACTTCGTGCTAGCACAATTATCGACAGCCCCAAGGCTTCCGTCTTTCCAATTTCACTCTTAAGGCTTGGGTCAACCCGTGGTATGGTTTTCAGGCACTTTCCGCACGCTGGGGTCGACCCGTCCAGTCAGATAACATCAAGAAGTTTTCTTCCTGAAAAATCGACCATGGTGAGATTCTGACCATGAGACCCGGGCACGCAATAGTTAAAGCGAAACCACCAAAAACAAACCTAAAAAAGCGCAAGAAAGTTATTGACAGAAAATATTAGCGGTAATAAAAATCAGTAAGAATATGATATTGGGTGACCTTGATTGTAATTACCCAAGTATTTCTAAAAATAAATAAATAAAAACGGCCATTGAGAAATCGGAAGAACGAGATTGAAGTTGATTTTATTATCTAGAAAGAGGGCATGCCGGGAAATGTATAAAAATGTGCCGTAAAACGGAAAATAATTGACTTTCCTTTAATGATAAAGATCTGGTAAATATTTTCAAACAAGAAATAAAATTTGGTATTTAAGACAAAAAATGTATTTTTCAACCAATGAAAACGCACCATTGAAAGAATATTGAAAAATTTCTTTGAAGCTAATCTAAGCTTTTATAACTTCATAAACAAACAACCAAATGATTGAGTCACTTTACTACGGTGGAAGCAAATACATTCACACTATTATGCCTAGGATGAAACCAGGACTTGATTATCCTTTAGGCTAGTATAGGTGGCAACCTAGGGCCGGATTATACTTTAGGCTAGTATAGCAGCCTAAAGACGGATTATCCTTTAGGCTAATATAGGTGGCAGCCTAGAAACGGATTAACATTTAGATTAGTATAGGTGGCAGCTTAGGGCCCCTGAAACTTTTATAAAGCAATGATTTTAATTTTCGAGATGTTATGACTTCTAAATAGTTTCTTAAACTGAAATGATATCAGTCTGTCAAACATATTTATTTTGATTGTTTTATTTATTGTTATTATACTTAGGTTTAAAAAATGTTTTTTTACTACGTTTGCGTCTAAATATATGCTAGTCTTTTAATAGTAAAATACAGGTATTTCTTAAAGAATATTTTTTATTGACAAACAAAAGATTGCTATTCTAGTTTATTTAAAGAATTTGCAATAACTTTACTTCAAGCTATGTAAATGTCGCTAAAATATATCACAGGTAAAAAAAATACTCATGACGGATGCGGGTTAGTTACAAAATGAGGGATGGGACCCTAATTTCCTTAGTCTAGCAGCACCAAAAGGTCATAATCCGGCCCTGGATGAAAGACACAAACGTTATGACTCTAAGAACTCGAATCAACGCAAAATTTACACTCGTCAGATCTACTCATCAATTCAAAAGACCAACAGTCAGAAAGCAGGGTGGAGGTGATGGAGGTGGAGGTGGAAGAGGTGGAGGTGATAGAAGTGGAGGTGATAGAGGTGGAAATGATAGAGGTGGAAATGATAGAGGTGGAAGTGATAGAGGTGATAGAGGTGGAGGTGGTAGAGGTAGGAGAGGTGGAGGTGATAGAGGTGGAGGTGGTAGAGGTGGAGGTAGGAGAGATGGAGGTGATAGAGGTGGAGGTGGTAGAGGTGGAGGTAGGAGAGATGGAGGTGATAGAGGTGGAGGTGGTAGAGTTGGAGGTAGGAGAGATGGAGGTGATAGAGGTGGAGGTGGTAAAGGTGGAGGTGATAAATGTGGAGGTGGTAGAGGTGGTGCTAGTGGTTTATAATTCACAACCAATTCAAGTGCAAACCATAAAAATTTGTTGTTCTTGTGTTGGATGGATAAATTCTTCCATCGTTGGTGGTGATGGTGGAGGTGTCGGAGGCTTTGTTATAGTGTAGCTCTCAATTTTGGCAAGGCTCAAGCACAAAGGTTTGATTGATTGATTGATTCGTTTTTTTACAGCTTATCAACCCTTTGCAGGTTATTTAAAGCCAGAAAATATTTTTAGATTGTAAGAATTTTTTTTTTGTGGGGTGGGAGTTGAGATAATAATTTAGTGATGCAAGTCTTAATTAACCAATATTTGTTGGATTCATACATTTCACAAGTGAATTTGCGCGTAATTGAACACAACTGGAATTGGAACTCGGCACTCCGGTTGGGAATTCCGAGCCATTATATATTACACCACCCGCACACCCAAGCTTACAGCATCTGGTATTCCGAAGTGATCACCCATCTAGGTATTGATCTGACACGACGTTGTTTAACTACGGTGATCGTACGGGAATCGGTGTTTTCAACGTGATGTAGCAGTAAGCAAGTAGGGTGGGAATAAGTCTTTGTGTAAACTTTTCAACTTTGTCAATGAGATAAGTTATTTTAAAAATTTGTTTTAATTATTTCACCACAAGCAAGACAAAAAAAGCAACTAATACGCAAGGAGTTACTGAGCGTTAGAGAACATGAGAAAAATATACTATTAAGGGGGAGAAAACAATAAAAGAACAAAAATGAAGAAGACAAAATAACGATTAACATTGCATTTAAATCTTTGTAGATCAGGGAATCAAGAAGTTGGAAGAGAGTTCCACAAGCGAGAAGTGCGATAGAAGAAACTGTTAACATAGAATTTACGGCTAGAATTTCAACTGTAAAAAGATGAAACCTTGCCGCCAATCTAGTGCTGCGCTTAAATTCATAAAGTTTAGGCACCATAGAGGAAAGTTCACCAGAACAATTTTCATGAAAATATTTATAGAAAAGGTAAACGGAATCTATTTTACGGCGGTGAGAAACTGTTATGGTGAAACACACCTATTCCATAGTTAATAGACTCTCCCACCTAATATAAGTAGGAGTAGTAAGAGAAACGAGGGTCAGTCGATGTCGGACGACAGTAGTCGACAGTTAGTCGAATACGAAAGTAGTCAGCGACTACAACAAGATTACTCTGCGTAATACCTATTATGTCAAGTTCCTAACGTTTTGTACGTCGAACCTATTTAGGACCGATTTAGTACAAATACAAGCCTCCACTGCAAAATAACTCCACAACAGCTTTGGCGACGAGGATTCGCACTCATACGGAGGAAGAAAAAATTCGCTCGCCACAATAACTCCGGCGACAAAGTCTCGGATTCACACTTAAAAAAAAACTTGGCAAAGTTTTTCGCAAGCCAAGATGTCAACTTAGTGACGAAAAAATCTGTCATATTCTCAACTGAGAAAAGAAATATTTTTTCCCGATAATACTGTTTGCTCAAGTAGGCCACGAATTTCAAATTCGTTGATCCCCCCCCCCTCTACAGTATTTAGGCATTGTGTAAACTTTTTGCCAAGATGGAAGAATGCAAAAGTATATTCCGGGAATTCTTTAAGTTCCAGTCGGAACAACAGATGACAATATTAGAGCAACAAAAACATTCCAGATGCAGCTACAGGAGGAAACTTTCAATAGACAAATGCAATTTCAACAAAAAATGGAACAGATGCATAGGGAGTTTCAAAACAAAATTCTGGAAATAACTGAGAAGAGGAAAGAGAAAAATCTACAAAATGATTATTTCCCAGAGAATACAATATGGAATTCAATTGAAATATTCACGTACAGTCCAGATGAAGAGATAACTTTTGGGGAGTATTATAAAAAATATACGGACGTGTATAACGAGGACTGCCACTCGTGGTCTGAAGGAAAGAAGGTTAGGCTTCTTTTAAGCAAATTCGGAACTGCTGAGCATAACAAATTGGTAAACTACATTTTACCGAAAAAACTAGCGAGTTGGCATTTACCGAGGCGGTAAATATATTAAGTGAATTATTTAGTAAAAAGACATCTCTGTTCCACAAGAGGTCGAAATGTTTGAATCTGATGAAAGATGACGAACAAAACTATATAACGTACGCATCCAATGTGAATAAGCATTGTGAAGAATTCAAGCTGGCAGAGTTAAGCGCAGACAATTTTAAGTGCTTGGTGTTTGTTCAGGGGCTGGTATCAGAAAGAGACGCAGAGTTGAGAAAATTAGTACTGGCAAAGTTGGAAAGCGATCCAAGTATTACGGTACAGAAATTGGCAGAAGACTGCACAAGATATGTTAGCGTAAAGAAAGATTCAAAAAAGATAGAACAGTCTGGCGTTTCGCATGTAAGGAAAATATGCTACAAAGAAGAAAGTCAGTCTACCAAAAAGAATTCTAAAATTGCGAATTATCAAGCAAAAAGTGAAATACCAGAGAAAAATAAATAAAAACTCCCGAAGCCATGTTTTGCTTGCGGTGAAGTACACTGGTACAGATATTGCGATTTTAGGAATAAAAAAATGTTTCAACTGTAAAAGAGTGGGTCATAAAAGCACGCATTGCAGGTCAAAAAATAAAGACAATAAAATAAGAAAATTAAAGTCCAACGAGGTAAAAGATGGAATAACCAGAAAATTTGTTACCGTCGAAATAAGTAATAAAAATATAAAAATGCAACTTGACACTGTTTCGGATCTATCTATCATAAATTTGCATACGTGGAAGAAGTTGGGGAAACCAACTTTAATGAAGATAAAGAAAATCACGAGGTCAGTGACGGGAGAAAAATACAGTTTATTGGGGAATTTGTTACAAACGTCACGTTAAATAAAAAAACGCGAAAAGCTAAACTATTTGTCATAGAAAATACCACGAACTTACTTGGTACGAATTGGATAAAAGAATTCCAATTATGGGATCTACCGATAAATTCCTTCTGTTATAAGGTAGAAAGTTTAAACACCGAAGCCCAAAAATTAATAAAGAAACTTAAGGAATCATTTCCTACTATTTTTTCTCCAGGGTTGGGAATGTACCAAGATGGAGGCAAAAATCCAGCTAAAAGAAAACGCTCAGGCGGTATTCAAAAAGAAAAGAAATGTGCCGTTTGCCTCAATTGAACAGATAAATAAAGAATTGTACAGATTAGAGAAAACCGGTGTACTTAAAAAAGTTGAGTATAGTGAATGGGCAACACCGACGGTATACGTGAAAAAAAAAAGACTAAAGAAATTCGTGTTTGTGCTGATTTCTCGACGGGTTTAAACGCGGCACTCAAAGACTATAATTATCCTCTACCAACAGCGGAAGAAATATTTGCGAAGCTTAATGGAGGCACAATATTTTCGAAGATAGACCTCAGCGACGCATATCTGCAAATACCGGTAGAAAAAGAAACGTCAAAACTTTTGTGTATAAACACACATCGGGGTCTGTATAAATTTAACAGACTACCTTTTGGGATTAAGGTAGAAATTTTCCAACAAGTAATGGATTCGATGTTGGGTGGTCTAGATTTTGCTGTAGCGTATCTGGACGACATCCTCATGAGAAGTACAAGTATAGCAGAACACGTGGAACATGTAAATGCAGTAGTTTCAAGAATACAGAGCTTCTAGAGCATTACTTCCGGCTGAGAAGAATTACTCTCAGATAGAGAAAGAGGCGCTAGGAATAATATTTGCAGTAGCGAAATTTCACCGTTTTCTCCACGGTCGACATTTTAAGCTACAAACCGATCATAAGCCTCTAATTTCGATTTTTGGATCGAAAAAGGGTTTGCCGACGCATACAGCCAAATGACTACAGAGATGGGGTACAATACTGCTAAATTATAACTGCAGCATGGAGTACATACCATCGAATAAATTTGGCTACGCTGATGGGCTGTCCAGGTTAATTCCTAAAATGAGCAAACCATTAGAAGACACGGTAATTGCCTCACTGAAGTCAGAAGAAGAGCTGAAATTTACTGTGTGTAATGCAGTTCGGGAACTTCCGGTAACTCTAGAAAAAAAATAAAAAGGAAGCCACCAGGGACAAGTATATCTTGAAAATAAAAGAAAAATAGCCGAGAGGGACCAGTACACAACAAATGTTTTTTCGCTTTGCGATACAGTATTGTTATACAGAGAACGTGTTGTCATTCCATACACACTGCAAAAGCAAATACTAAAGGATTTTCATACTGGTCATCCGGGCAACACTAGGATGAAGAGCCTAATGCGAAGTTTTGTATATTGGCCGAATATGGACAGGGACATTGAGAACGCAGTGGCAAAATATAAAGGCTGTGCTTTAGCTGCAAAGGCACCCCCAATAAAATTTAATCTCTGGCCAAAAACAGACCTACCATGGTCTAGGTTACATGTAGATTTCGCAGGTCCACTGCTGCTAGGAAAGTTGACCCACGGTGTCCAGCTAGACAATTTTTCTCACCAGAATCTATCTTATATATTTATGTCTACCATTCATCCATGCTTCGAATATTACCAATCACATCTGGTCTGGTGCTTCTGCTATATATTTAGAAATTCTTGTTAAAATCCAAAGAAGAATCTGCAATGTTATTGGTTCTGGCCTGGCATCTCGGCTTCAGTCACTTTCACTTTAACGTAGCTTCTCTATGCGGTTTCTATAAATGATAATTTATACCTGGTATTAGATTGTAGACAAGCTCTCATTACTTTAAAGTTGAAATAGGTTCTATGCTAAGCGTTTCTTCTATCACACTTATTGCTCGTGGAACTATCTCTTCCGGCTTCTTGCTTCCGAGTCAAGTTTGACCTTCAGAAATGTAAGTGCAATGTCTCTTATTTTCTTGGTTCTTAATTCTTGTTCTTTTATTGTTCTCTTTCTTTAATATTAATTTTGTTCTCATATTCTCTCTTACTCAGTAACCCCATTGCGTCTTAATGGCTTTATTACTTTCCTTGGGAAGTGAATAAAAAAGTACAAATCGTTGTTTTCGCGAAAGGTGGAATAATTTCATCCAACTTAGAACTTCGCCACGAATATCCTCTTCACTTGCTCCAACTTGAACAGGAGTTTTTGATGAAGCGCTCTATCTTTGGCAAAGTCTGAGTAGAACGCTGGATTGGACAGGATTCCGAAGGTCCTCCCTTACAGGGGAAGAATTGGCCACTGACCTCATCTTCGCTTAAAGGGCGTCTGCAAAAGGGACATGAGGGCGATGGACATAGGCATCGAGAGTTTGGAAGACGTCGTCAACGATCGCTCACGCTGGAGACGCGATTTATACAGAGGGCTTTAGCAAGGGGAGGGGAAACGGAGGTTTGCCGCCGCGGAGAGAAAACAAAAAGTCGACATCGGGGGAGATCGCCTTCACATGCATTGGCTGTCACGCCAGTGTGGGCCTGTATAGCCTTAACATACTCTGCACTTCTATTAGCAACTGAGGCATAACTCTCTGGGCGCAGATCCAAGGTTTCTCGAGACCAAAGGATGCCACATACAAAGTAGATCGCATTAGTTTCCATATAGTTACTGT